TAAAAGGAGAAATTAACAACAACACAATAGAAGTAGGGGATCTTAACACCCCACTTACATCAATGGATAGATCATCCAGATAGAAAGTCAATAAGGAAATAGTGGACTTAAATGAAAAACGAGATGAGATGGACTTAACAGATATATATAGAGCACTCCATCCAAACACAGCAGATTACACATTCTTCTCAGGTGCGCATGGAACATTCTCAAGAATAGATCATATGTTGGGAAACAAGGCAAGACTCTATAAGTTTAAGAAGATTGAAATCATAACAAGCATCTGTTCTGACCATAATGCTATGGAACTAGAAATCAACTACAAGAAAAAAACTGGGAAAGTGACAAAGATGTGGAGACTAAACAACATGCTACTGAACAACCAATGGGTCATTGAAGAAATTAAAGGAGAAATCAGATCACATCTGGAGACAAATGAAAATGAAAATACACCATACCAACTCATATGAGATGCAGCAAAAACAGTCCTGAGAGGAAAACTCATAGCAATACAGGCCCACCTTAACAAACAAGAAAAATTCCAAATAAGCAAGCTTAAATTACACTTAATAGAATTAGAAAAAAAAGAACAGACAAAGCCCAAAGTCAGCAGAAGGAGAGAAATAATAAAAATTAGAGCAGAAATAAATGAAATTGAAACCAAAAAAACAGTAGAAAGGATCAATGAAACAAAGAGCTGGTTCTTTGAGAAGATAAACAAAATTGACAAACCCTTAGCCAGACTCACTAAGGAAAAGAGACAAGCCTCAAATAAATAAAATTAGAAATGAAAGACGAAACATTACAACAGACACCACAGAAATACAGAGGATTATAAGCGAATACTATGAGAAATTATATGCCAACAAATTGGACAATCTAGAAGAAATGGATAAATTCTTAGACTCATACAAACTCCCAAACCTGAATCAAGAAGAAAGAGAGACTCTGAATAGACCAATCACAAGTAAAGAGATTGAAAGAGTAATCAAAAGCCTCCCAAAAAATAAAAGTCCAGCACCAGATGGCTTCTCTGGAGAATTTTACCAAACATTCAAAGAAGATTTAATACCTATCCTTATCAAACTATTCCAAAAAATAGAGGAAGATGGAACACTTCCCAACACATTCTATGAGGCCAACATCACCCTGATACCGAAGCCCTACAAGGACAACACAAAGAAGGAAAATTACAGACCAATATCCCTGATGAACATAGAGGCAAAAGTCCTCAACAAAATATTGGCAAACTGAATACAGTGATACATTAAAAACATCATACATCATGATCAAGTGATTTATACCAGGGACACAGGGATGGTTCAACATCGGCAAATCAATACCATTAACAGAACAAGGACTAAAAACCACAGGATCATCTCAATAGACGAAGAGAAAGCATTTGACAAGATCCAGCATCCATTTATGATAAAAACTCTCAACAAAATGGGTATAGGGGAAAGTACTTCAACATAATAAAGGCCATATATGATAAACCACAGCCAACATCATACTCAATGGGGAAAAACCGAAAGCCATTCCTCTGAGAACAGGAACAAAAGAAGGGTGCCCACTCTCACCACTCTTATTCAACACAGTACTGGAGGTTTTGGCCAGAGCAATTAGGCAAGAAAAAGAAATAAAAGGTATCCAAATAGGTGACAAAGAACCAAAACTCTCGCTGCTTGCAGATGACATGATTTTATATATAGAAAACACTAAAGGATCCATTGGAATACTATTAGAAATAATCAACAACTACAGCAGAGTTGCAGGGTACAAAATCAACTTACAAAAATCAGTTGCATTCCTATACTCTAATAACAAACAAACAGAAAGAGAACTCAAGAATACATTCCCATTTACAATCACAACAAAAAGAGTAAAATATCTAGGAATAAATTTAACCAAGGTGGTGAAAGACCTATACAATGAAAACTATAAGACATTATTGAAAGAAATCGATGATGATGTAAAGAAATGGAAAGATATCCCACGCACATGGATTGGCAGAATAACATAGTTAAAATGTCCAGACCACCTAAAGCAATCTACAGATCCAATGCAATCCCAATCAGAATCCCCATGACATTCTTCACGGAAATAGAACAAAGAATCCTAAAATTCCTATGGGGCAACAAAATACCCCAAATACCTAAAGCAATCCTGAGAAAAAAGAACAAAGCTGGAGGCATCACAATCCCTGACTTCAAAACATACTACAAAGCAATAGTAATCAAAACACCATGGCACTGGCACAAAAAAACAGACACAGAGATTAATGGAACAGAATTGAAAGCCCAGAAATAAAACCACACATCTAGGGACAGCTAATCTTCCACAAAGGAGCTAAGAACATACAACGGAGAAAGGGAAGTCTCTTCAATAAATGGTGCTGGGAAAACTGGACAGCCACATGCAAAGGAATGCCATACACAAAAATTAACTCAAAATGGATCAAAGACTTGAAGATAAAACCTGAAATTATAAAACTCCTGGAAGAAAACATAGACAGTACACTCTTTGACTTTGGTCATAGAGGGCTCTTTTCGAATTCCATGTCTACTCGGACAAGGAAACAAAAGAAGAAATAAACAAGTAGGACTTCATCAGACTAAGGAGCTTCTGCAAGGCAAAGGAAACCAGAATCAAAATGAGAAGACAACCCACCAGGTGGGAAAAAGTATTTGCAAATCATATATCCAACAAGGGGTTAATCTCCATACTATATAAAGAATTCACACAACTGAACAACAAAAAAACAACACGATCAAAAAATGGGCAGAGGATATGAACAGACATTTTTCCAAGGAAGATATACAGATGGCCAATAGGCACATGAAAAGATGTTCAACATCATTAATCATCAGGGAAATGCAAATCAAAGTACACTAAGATATCATCTTACACCTGTTAGAATGGCTATAATCACCAAGACAAAAAATAACAAATGTTGGAGAGGTTGTAGAGAAACAGGAACCCTAATTCACTGCTGGTGAGAATGCACACTGGTGCAGCCTCTATGGAAAACAGTATGGAGAGTCTCAAAAAATTAAAAATAGAAATACCTTATGATCCAGCTATCCCACTACTGGGTATTTATCTAAAGAACTTGAAATCAACAATTCAAAGAGACTTATGCACCCCTATGTTCACTGCAGCATTAATTCACTATAGCCAAGAAGTGGAAGCAACCCAAGTGTCCCTCAACTGATGACTGGATAAAGAAGATGTGGTATATATATACAATGGAATACTACTCATCCATAAAAAAAGACAAAATCTTCCCATTTGCAACATCATGGATGGATCTGGAGGGTATTATGTTAGGTGAAATAAGCCAGACAGAGAAAGACAAACACTGCATGACCTCTCTCATATGTGGAAGATAAACTGACATATGGACAGAGAGAACAGTTTAGTGGTCACCAGGGTGAAGGGTGTTGGGGGCTGGGCACAAGGGGAGAAGGGACATATTTATATGGTGACTGACAAACAATAATGCACAACAAAAATTTCACAAGGTTATAAACCTTTATGACACCAATAAAAAAATAGAGGAAGATTTTCATCAGATGTTAGCTAAAGGGACTCTTTTTTGGCAATAAATAAATAAATAATAAAAAATAAAGTTCTAAAATTCATTACCTAACTTTTTGCCTTAGGAAGTTAGAAAAGCACAAATTAAAAAAAATGTAGAAGACAGAAAATAATAAAGAATAGAGAAAAATCAATGAAATCAATAATAAAAAATCAAGTGGCGGTTTTTTGAAAAGATCCATAAAATTGACAAACCTTTAGCTAGACTGATGAAGAAAAAGAAGAGGGAAGATGTCAATTACCAATATCAGGAATGAAAGATGGTTCACCACTATAGGTCACACAGACATTAAAAGGATAGTAAGGAAATACTGTGAACAATTTTATGCCAATAATTGGACACCTCGGATGAAATGGACAAATCCTTTAAAAGATAGAAATTACCGAAGTTTACTCAATACTACACTGGTAACTTGAATAGCCCTAAAGCTAATGCGGAAGCTGACTTTGTAATTTAAAATCTTGCCACAAAGAAAACTCCAGGCCCACATGAGTTCACTGGAATGCTACCAAACACATAAAGAATGAGTCATATCGATCCTACAGTCTTTCCAACATAGGAAGAAGGAATATTCTCATTTCATGAGGCCAGCGTTAGACTGATACCAAAACCAGACAGTCAAAAGAAAAAAACAACAGGAGAGAAAATTACAAGGACCAAATATCCCTCATGAGCAAGGAGCAACGACCTCAACCCTTGTCCAAACGTCACCAAGTTGGATGAGGCAAGACACAAAGAGGATAATAAACCGCGACCAAGTGAGTTTTCCCAGGAAGGCAGGGGTGATTCGACATTAAAAAGCAATCAACGCAGTTCAATCCTATTAACAGGCTAAAACAGAAAAACGACACAGTCACTTCAATAGACGCAGAACGAGCATTTGAGAAAATTCCACACCCAGGGGTAAGAACTCAGAAAAACGGGGAAAGCGGGGACTTCCTCAACTTGAGCAAGAACACCTGCAAAAGCCTACCCTGACAGCACACAGTCCTACCCCTTCCCCCAAGATGGCCCACCCACACGGAGCCCCGCCCACCAGCACGATGCCACGCGCGATAGGCATGGCGTCGCCTCGCTTGCGGGCGCTCTACCGCCCGCCAATGGCCAACCACTGACTGCCAACGGTCCCAGCGCGCGCGCGGCAACCCCATTGGCCAAGCTCGACGGGGCACAGGCGCAGGCGCGGGCGTGACGACCCCATTGGCCAAGCTCGACGGGGCACAGGCGCAGGCGCGGGCGTGACGACCCCATTGGCCAAGCTCGACGGGGCACAGGCGCAGGCGCGGGCGTGACGACCCCATTGGCCAAGCTCGACGGGGCACAGGCGCAGGTGCGGGCACGACGACCCATTGGCGGAGGGCGGCGGAGCGGCGCTGGTGCTGAGGCCGGAGCCTCGGCAATGCTTCGCCTCGCGGCCAGCCTGGTGGCCTTCTTCTGGAGGAGGGCGGACAGGCCGAGGGAGGAGACCGGGCCCCCGGGGCCCGAGCTCGCGGAAGGTGCCTCGTGGGGTGGGCGGGTCCCCGCGCCGCCACCTGTGTGTCTGTGGGGGGGGGGGGGGACCTGGGGCCCCGCGCGCTGCTGCGGGGCTTGAGGGCGACGCCGGCCGTGCGGGCGTCCACCGGGCTGTCCGGGCCGTGGTGCCGTCCTGGGGTCGCGCTCGCGTGGGTTGCAGTGAAACGGCTGTTCTTGGCGCGCGAGCGTCCCGTGAACGTCTTTGGGGGTTCCACCCCGGAAGGCAGGCGCGGCTCTTCCGTGACCGTCCCCCCGCCCTCCCGACGACCCAGCGGGTTGTGCGCGGTTGGGGCCGTGGGTCTCCCTCCCTCTGGGCCGCTCCTGCGGTGTCCGCGCTGTCTGGTGTGGGGGGCAGGACGCCGCCAGTGTCCCTGCACTGTGGGCTCAGGAGACTGGAGAAGGCCGCCCCGCTGTCTCAGTCCCTGGAGAGCCCCGTGCAAGCCGCTGCTCCCTCCTCCACCCCGTCCTCCTCACGTCCGGGGCTCTTCTGACTCTGGCCCTCACCTTGCTCGGTCGCTTCCCCCAAGGTTCCTGCGTTTTCTCTCAGCTCCTCCTCCTATGTGAGAATTGAATGCAGAGTACTGACTCTCTAGTTCCTTTCTCTGACCTCGCAAAAGATGGAATCTCCACGAGAGAAGCCAGAAGCGTCCGAATTGGAGTTTCGTGCTGAAGGCCCTCTGTGTGCAGGGTTGCTGATGCTCATGTAACCGACTTGGTTCCCAGCGCGTCGCTGCACCGATCTGGGTCTCCTCTGTAAAGTACGGGCTTTCAGCACAGCCTGAGCTCCGGATCCATGCGTCAGGAAGCTTCTGGGCAGTGCGGGACCTGAGCACCCCGGGTTCCTCGTGTGTCTGAGGTCCAGCAGACGGTGCAGGGAGGACTCAGAGAACGCTAGCCGGAGCAGGGTTCTCGGGCAGTAGTGGGGAGGGTCACTGAGAGGGTGAGGACATGCCTTGTTCCCAGGCTAGACTGACTCCCCAAGCCCGGGATCTGTTCTAGTGCCTCTTTGGTGAGACAATACAGAATCTCCTGACAGCCAGACACTGTCATCATCAATGATGAAAGATGATGGTAGTGATAACCCATAGTAAGGACTCCCTAGATGCTGCTCTGAAGCTAACAACAGTTTACACCTGCACCCTTGCCTGCGCCAGCCACGTGGAGGTCTGTGCATTGCACGCGTTCTGTCACATAACCCTCAGACAGCTCTCTCGGTAGTGGCTGTCTCTCCATCTTACAGATGAGAACAGGTACAGAGTGGCCAAAGACCTAGCTCAGAGTTACACAAACGGCAGTAGAGGAGCTGGGATTCATACCCAGGCAGTCTGGCTCTGGAGTCAGAGCTCTCCCCACCGAGTCCACCACCTGTGCCCCTTAGGGGAAGCTGGGCAGTCTGCCTCACAAACCCTACTTTCTGAATGCTCCACTCCCCTGGAGTGTTCTCCAGCTGTATGGCTCCTACCCCGATGGATGCTCCTGTAGTCAACCTCTCTCTGGGCTTCATTGGGGTCAACATAACCTCTTTGTTTGCCCATCTCAGGTGACACCAAGTTGAAAACCGTCCAGGGAGTTGTGACAAGGTACTGCAGTGATTATGGCATGATCAATGATTTGATCTACTTTTCCAATGAGGTTGTGACTAGCAACGTGCTTCTGAATGTTGGACAGGAAGTTATTGCAGTTGTGGAAGAAAATAAAGTGTCGAATGGATTGAAAGCCATCAGGGTAAGGCCTGAGTTCATTTGGGAAGTCTCTCTTCACCACGGGGCTTCCCACTGCTGTCCTCCTGCTTAGTTAACCTCTCAGATAACTTGGCGAGAGAGAGTGGAATGTACCTGTGCAGGGGTGCTTTTGTTATAAAAGTTTCTGTTTTAAAACATCAGTGGTGGTCATTGTAAATCATTCAAATGTCATAGAAATTTATAATTCATAAAGTAAAGCTTGCCTATAATTTTATGCCATGGAGAAGAACACTTAACATTTCTATGTCTATTCTTCTGATCATTTAAAAAAATATTGTTAAAAATGATAATCATTGGACCTTTTGTTATCCAATTAGCAAAGGTAATTACTGAACCCTATTATTCAGCAACTTTTTTCATTTAAAAATAGTATTTTTGTACTATAAATTCTTGGAAGTAGAATTGTTATTCAAAGGGTATGCACATTAACATTTTAATGATTACCATCAAATTATTCTCAGATAACATCATACTAATTTATATTTTCAGGAACAGGATGAGAGACTGCCTGTTACCCAGTGTTGGCAAGGATGTGGATATTATTAATTTTTGAAATCTTTGTCAATGTAATAAGGGAAAAGTGATCTCATAATTTTGACTTGCACTTAAGCCTTAAAGTAGATTAATTATTCACATTTTTTTCTATGAATTATTTTTGTGTCCTTAGTCCATTTATTTTTGTTGTTCAACTTTTTAAGTTTCTATATTGGGGAAATTAGAACTTTTTAAGGAAAATTATTATAGGAAAGTTGCAAAATTTCTGCCAAGATCGTCTTTTGGCTTTGTTTTCTGAGGTTTTATTTTATGTGGTTAAACGTGTCTCTTTTTTCCATGTGGCTTTTGAGTTCCGTAAGAATCCTTGGAGAGGCTTATTCCACTTCCTATTACAAATATGCACTCAAGTTTTCCTCTGAAATTTTGTTTATTCACATTTAAATTGTTAATCTTCCTGGAATTTATTTGGTGTACAGACTGAAAGAAGGAACCAGACATTCCTTTCCCAGGAGCTAGCGAGTTGTCCCGCTGAGGAGGGACGACTGGTAGAGGAGGTCCCTTTATCGTGCACCGGCACCCCATGCACATGGGAACCTGTCTGGACCCTGTCGGTCCTGATGCCGGCGCGTGGGCCTTGGTGGCACAGTTGCGTCTGTGATGGTAGGCAGGTTTCCCTCCTACTCTTCTTGTGGGTGAATTCTATGGGCTCTCCACTCCTTCTGGACGAAACTTCGAGTCCTTCTGTTGTTTCTCTCCCCGGCTTAGACTCGCTTTGGACAGCAGAGTTGGTGGATCCATTTAGGCTCAGTGACATGTGGATCATATCAAGTTTCCTCCAGCCACCAATTATGTCTGTCCCTTTATTTAAGCCTTCCTTTATGTTCTTTCCACAGTGTAATAATTGTTTTCTTCATTTAGGTTCTGCAAATTTCTTGTTAAGTTTATTTCCAAGAATTTTAATGTTTTCATTCCATTATCATATAGTTTTACTTTGTATTTTCAAATTAATCTTTTTCTTCCTATATAAGAAAGCTATTGATTTTTGTTATGTAATTTGGTAGTTTGCAAACTTATTAAGCTCAACTACTTTTTAAAATGGTCGAGATATACCTTATTACTATTACAGTTAGTAATGCCATTAAGATGGCATAATATTAAGATGGCTTAATATCATCTTTCATCAAATTTTAAAAATAATACAAATAAAAATCAAATTCCGGAATTGCATTGTTCTGTGTGGTAGCTACCAGCCATTTGTGGCTATTTAAATTTATTAAAAGTAAATAAAATTTAAAATTCTTCGGTTTCACTAGCCACATTTCAAATACTAACTGTAGCTTGCAGTTACCAAATTGGGCAGCACAAACATAAAATATTTCTGTTGTCACAGAGAGTCCTTTTAGATTTCTCTGGCCTAGGATGCTGCAGAATGGAAAGTAGGCCCTCTCCATGCCCTCCACCTGCACCTGTGTTCCTCAGGCCTGGTGCCTGCCTTGGTTTCTGCTTTCAGCTCCTCTGGTAGATGCTTGAATCACTTGTGCAGTGTGCTCACCCCTGCTCCATTTACCGACACTAGATAGCGTTTACGACCTCCATCACGAGAGAGATGCACTCGGCTCGTTTACACTGCCCTCTGTATTTCTGTGCATGTTGTGGTGGTGGTGGTGGTAAAATATACAACATAAAATTTACCATTTTAACCATTTTTAAGTGTACAATTAAGTGGCATTAAGTACATTCACATTGTTGTGCACCCATCACCACTATCTATTTTCAAAACTTTTTCATCATCCAAAATACAAACTCTGTTACCCGTTAAACAGTAGTTCGCTGTTCTGCTTTCTGTCTCTGTGAATTTGACTCTCCTTGGCATCTCATATAAGGGAATTATATGCTACTTGTGCTTGTGTGTCTTACTGGACCTAGCATAATATTTTCAAAGTTTATCCACGTAACATGTATCAGAACTTCATTCCTTTCTATGGCTGAATAACATTCCGTTGTATGTATTCACTACATTTTGTTCTCCACTCATTTGTTGATGGACACGAGTTGTTTCTGTCTTTTGGCTGTTGTGAATAATGCTGCTATGAATGAGTATCTTTTTGAGTCCCTGTTTTCAGTTCTTTTGGGTATATACTTTGGAGTGGAATTGTGGGGTCATATGATTATTCTATGTTTAGCTTTTTGAGGAACTGCCAAATTTTTCCATAGTGGCTACATTCCCAGCAGCAATGCACAAGGATTCCAGTTTCTCTATATCCCCACCAGCACCAGTTATTTTTCGTTTTATTGACACTAGCCATCCTAGTGGATGTGAAGTGGTATCTTATTGTGGTTTTGATTTACATTTCTATAATAATTAATGAAGTTGAGCATCTTTTCATGTGTTTATAGGTCGTTTATATATCTTCTTTGGAGAAATGTCTGTTCAAGTTCTTTGCCCATTTTTTAATTGGGATCTTTTTTTTTTATTGAGTTATAGAAGTTCTTTATATATTCTGGATATGAATCTCTTAATCAGATATATGATTTACAAATATTTTCCTCCCATTCTGTGAATTGCCTTTTTACTTTTTCTTGATAGTATCCTTTGATGCAGAGAAGTTTTAAATTTTGATGAAGTCCAGTTTATCCTTTCTTTAGTTACCTGTGCTTTTAATGTCACACTTAAAAAGTCGTTGACTGGGGACAGCCTGGTGGCATAGTGGTTAAGTTTGTGCACTCTGCTTCAGCAGCCCTGGGTTGGCAAGTTCGGATCCTGGGCATGGACCCATGCACTGCTTATCAAGCCGTGCTGTGGTGGCGTCCCATATAAAGTAGAGGAAGATGAGCACGGATGTTAGCCCAAGGCCGGTCTTCCTCAGCAAAAGGAGGAGGACTGGCGATGGATGTTAGCTCAGGGCTGATCTTCCTCACACACAGACACATACACACAAAATCATTGACTAATCCAAGATCATGAAGATTTTCACCTATGCTTTTTTCTAAGAGTTTTATAATTCTAGCTCTTAAATTTAAGTCTTTGATCCATTTTGAGTTAATTTTTGAATATGGTGTTGGTAAGGGTTTGACTTCCTTCTTTTGCGTGTTGATATCCAGTTTTCCCACCACCATTTTTTGAGAAGACTGCACAATGGGGAAAACCCTTTCCCCATTGAATGGTCTTGGCACCTGTGTTGAAAATCAATTGACCATATATATGAGGGTTTATTTCTGGGCTCTGTATTCTGTCTCATTGGTCTTACATCTGTCTTTATGCCGGTACCACGCTCTTTCGATTACTGGAGCTTTGTAGTAAGTTGTGAAATCAAGAAGTGTAATTTTTCTAACTTTGTTCTTTTTGAAGATTTTTTTGGTTATTCAGGGTCCCTTGAGATTCCATTTGAATTTTAGGATGGATTTTCCTATTTCTGCAAAACACGTAATTGGGATTTTGAGGGGGATTGTGTTGAATCTGTAAATCACTTTGGACAGTATTGACATCTTAACAGTATTAAGTCTTCCAATTCATGAACACAGATGTCTTTCCGTTTATTGTCTTTAACTTCTTTCAGCCACATTTTGTAGTTTTCAGCATACAAGTCTTCCACCTCCTTAGTTAAATTTATTCCTAAGTGTTTCATTCTTTTTGATGCTACTGTAAGTGGGATTTTTTTCTGAATTTCCTTTTTTGGATTGTTCATTGCAAGTGTATAGAAGTAGAACTGATTTTTGTATGTTGATTTGTATGCTGCAGCTTTGTTTAACTCCTTTATTAACTCGAACAGTTTTTTTGTGAGGAAGACTGGCTCTGACTTAACATCCACTGCCAGTCCTCCTCTTTTTGCTGAGGAAGATTAGCCTTGAGCTAACATCTGTGCCCATCTTCCTCTATTTTGTATGTGGGATGCCACCACAGTGTGGCCTATGAGCGGTACATAGATCTGTGCCCGGGATCTGAACCTGCAAACCCCAGGCCACTGAAGCGGAGCACGCAAACCCAACCACTATGCCACTGGGCCAGCCCCAGCTCTAACAAATATTTATGGAATGTTTAGTGGTTTCTGCGTGTAAGATCGTGCCCATCTGCAGACAGAGGTCATTCTACTTCCTTTCCAATTTGAATACCTTTTATTTTGTTTTCTCGCCTAATTGCTCTGGCTGGGACTTCCAGTACTATTTTGAACAGAAGTGGCAAAAAGAGGCATCCTTGCCTTGTTCCTGCTCTTCGGGAAAAAGCTTTGTCTTTCACCATTGAGCATGATGTCAGCTGTGGGTTTTTCATACATGGCCTTTATCATGTGAGGAGGTTCCCTTCTAATCTAGTTGACTGAGCATTTCTATTGTGAAAGGGTGTTGAGTTTTGTCAAATGCTTTTTCTGCATCAACTGAGATGGTTGTGTTTTTTCCTTCCTTCTACCAATGTGGTGTATTATAGTGATTGATTTTCATGTGTTGAACCACCTTTGCATTCTGGGATAAACCCCCCTTGGTCATGATGTATAATCCTTTTAATACACTGCTGAACTTGGTTTGCTAGTATTTTGTTGAGGATTTTTGCATCTGTATTCGTAAGGGGTACTGGCCTGTAGTTTGCTTTTCTTGTCATCCTCTTATTATGGTTCAGACAGCAGTTTGTCTGTCTTGCAGGTGGACGCTGTCTCTGATAAATGGGAAGACGACAGCAGAAACTCCAGCCGAGGGCTGTCAGGCTCCAGCCCCCGAGTGCTGATTGGCTGCGTGACCTCCTTGACGGAAGGGGCTGGCTACATCAATCAGACCACGTACTTCTCTATGGAGAGTGTTTGTGAAGGTAGGCTAGACAGTTTCTACTTCACATTTAAATTAGGCTTTGTGTGTTTTTCGTTTTGTGTGAGTAGATCTGAGATGGTCACAGGCCAGGTCACAGGTCACATTGAAGGTCAGGTTTGGGCATGCTTTGTGGAGAAAGCTTTGGGACCAGAACGCCTTCTCCAGGTGCTGGCTCCAAGCAGAGGCTCTGTAGTGTTGGGCAAACGTGCTGTCATTTGTTTTGTGTTCACTTGTTGAATGCAGTCACTAATTTCTGGGTAATTGTTCCTTTCACATAATTATTGTTAGTGATCTAAGTCAACAGTGTTACAGATATATAGAAGTACTCTTGCTTTTAAAGTACTTCAGGGCCGGCCCCGTGGCTTGGTGGTTAAGTGAGCGCGCTCCACTGCTGGTGACCCGGGTTCGGATCCCGGGCTCGCACCGGCGCGCTGCTTCTCCGGCCATGCTGAGGCCGCGTCCCACATACAGCAACTAGAAGGATGTGCAGC